TGAACTTCTTTCAAAAAAGTTCCCCTTTATGACCAATGGTTAAAAGGGCATTGTTTCAAACAACTTGCCCTTCCTTTCTGTGGATTCAAATCCCGACAGGGGAATTTTTTTTTTTTTTTAAAGGAGGAAACTATTAGTTACCCTTAAAGAATTAGGGGTTCTATTTATTAAAGTCCGTTTGTGTCTGAAATAAAGCATGGCCCCGGGGGACTGAAATTCTTTACCCGTAAAATGGGGGTCAATATGGGTTATACTGTGTTGGTGGGAACTGAAAACCCCAAAAAAAAGCCCCCTGCAAACCATCCTCTGAGGGGCAATAAACCCTTTTTTTACAAATAATAAAGGTTTAAATTAAATTGGAAACCCCTGAGACAACCCCGGGTCAATTTTAAATAAAAACTTTGTCATCCAAAAGGGTATTTCTCTGCAGATATTGCACTGTATATCTTATGTCAAAAAATTATTTTATTTTTGTTGTTAAGGGAAAATGGAAAAAGATTCCCTAGAGATGACTAAAAAACGGGAAAAGGGCTGGTATGAAAATTGGAAATAAATAACCCCCCTGTCTTACAAATGTCACAAAAAAAACATGAATCCGAAAAAAATTTGTCCTAAGGTTTGTGTTACACAATTATCTCCCTTAGATAATGTCATTTTTAGACTGCAATTTTTTTTGGCCTTAAATCATTTACCTCCTATGAATATACATGGGAATATATTGTTAATTTTCATTTTATAAAGGAGAGTGGGGCAGTCTTTTTATATTTTAGGCACTTGTTATATTTTATTCATTTTATCCTGAACATTTTACATATTCAATTATTGGTCAATGACCATTATAATAGTCAATCTTATTAGATATACAACCAAGTGAGCTTGACTGAAAAAATGAGCATGTCACTTTAATCAGTAAAGGTTTTGCATTGAAATTTTTACAGATTATTTTCAGTTTATTATAAGATACGATTTTAAAGAAAGAAAAGTAAATCATGTATTTATAAAAAAAAAGTATTTTATTATTTCAAGTGATTGATGTACATTGTAAAAGATTATTAACACATATTAAAAATCATGCTATTATTCGTATTTGATTAATGAATTGTAACTTTAAAACTTACTTCATTTTTTCCTCCATTATTTTCAGGGATTGAACCCAGGTCTTGCTATTGGTGAAATGAAGAAGATGTTGGCCAAATATGATGCCAATAAGGCCAAGGAGAAGGCCAGTGTGGCGTAAATCTGTCCGAACAAACAAAATGTGTGAACTTTTCGCTCTCTTCTATAATGTGTGGATGTTTATACCGTTATACCGATCAAAGAATAACTTTATTTATTAAAAGAAGAGGGAAGCAACTTATGTGGAGTATTCTCTTTAAAGAGATTTTTTGGGGAATAAAATAAAAAAAAAAATCTGTTAAAATCTTCACAACCGATGTAATTGCTATAATAAGTACACATTGTTTTATTTGAATTAGATCTTTTTGTATATCACATCAAAGTACTATTTCTTTTTTTCCCTGAGGTTTCTTTATTTAGTATCATGTTTTAAATTGCTTTCAGTTATTGTTTTATGTAATAATTTCAAGGGAGAAAGAAATTGCAATCTTTTCAATTAGATTTATCTCCCCTCTAGTACTGATAAAATGTTATTTTTTAAAGGTATACATTGTTATTGATAGTTCTTTTTATGGGAAAAATGTCTTTTAAACTACGGTTTTGTAGATAACTGTGTAATATTGCATTATATGCTATTTTGTATTAATTCCCTGTTGAATTTTAAAATTCAATTTGTTTTTCGAGAAGAAGATCAAAAATTACACATTTATAGTGAAAATACAGATTATGATAAAATCTAACAAACATATTTATTTCTTATTTGCAAAAGTGAGCAAGATGTAAAAGGATTTTATGTTGTAATTAGTTTGACGTAGAATTTTTTAAGCATATTTTGTGTATGCGTGTTAGGCAATATCTTAGTAGGTACATATACTTACATGACATACTTGTGAAACAAAAAAAGTAAATATGGCAACTTTATAACAAAAAAAAGCGAATGTCATCAAAAGTGTCATATTTGAAAGCGGGAAAATACAAATGAATATTTCTTTTGTTGGGAAACTACTAATATATATATAATATAATTATATTTCGTTTTAATGAATATGTTACATCCGAATAAAATTTTCAAGACTGTCTCGTATATTATGATTACATTGTCCAGTAGTTTGAACATATGTGGCCCCAGACTGCTTACTTACAGTTACATGCATATCAACATCGTAGGTTTGAATTTCGTTTGCTACTTTGAATTCTTTTATGTGCGGAGGCTGTCCAACCAGTTGACGGTGGAAGGTCGGTGGTTCTTTTAGAACTTGGCATTTTCTAGGAATAACGCAGATCCTTATAGTGCACTTGACAAGTCCCTGACTTTTTTGAGTCAGGATGTGACTTAATTTTGTACAAAAAACTAGGCCCCAGTGATTTTTCATCTTGCATAACAGAGGCTAATAAAATGCATCTTTCCAATTCCTCTTCTTTTAAATCATGAAGTTTTTCCAAAAATCTGAACAGTTCAGCTTACGCCAGCTTTTTTTTCCAAATCAGCAACTTTAACAATATCTTTCCAAAATCAAGAGGCTAATGCCTGTTCCCAATTATTTGAGAAAAAACACTGGCTCGAGCTTTTCAAAGCTGCCATAGACCGTGGAAAAAAACTTGCATTAAGCTACTAGTATACGTTTTGTGAACCCCTGCTTAAGTTAAAGTAACGGAACGTTTTGGGTCAAAATTGTCTTCTATGAACACGCTTGTCAGCTTCACATCAAAGAAGTGGTGCAACTTTCTTAGAACTTTTTACACCGTAACACGGATCAACTCTTGAAGTATACAACCTGACGATTTCAATACCGATTACAACATACCCTCCCTCTCGGTTCTCTATTTAGTTCGCGCGATCAATTTTTGTGAAGGAACTGACAGATTATTTCTATGTTAGTGACCTTTTATCTTAACCTTACTTGAATAATTATGTTTACATGAATGTGGCTAAGGCCACGAAAAAGGGAGTAAAAATATGAAAACGTCGATGAAATGCCATTATTAACTAGTCGATCAAATTTCTTGGTGATTTGATTTCTAATTAAACATGATCAAGGGACGTGAATGTACTGGGCTATTTCTCAGACGACTCTTGATTGAAGCATTGCTGAGGAATATAGAAATACATAGTTGAAATATTGGGATAGCCATTTTTCATTTTAGTGAATTTCCTATACATCTCCGTGAAAACATCCGTGTATTTGTAAATACATGTAAATGAATTCAATGCTGTGCTCTGTACATGAAACATGTTTAGGCCGGAATACGCTAACTTATTCTGACACTTCTTCGTATCTCTTAAATGATATTAGTAAATGAATAAAAAAAAAGGAATTTGGAGAAGCAAATATTTACACTCAGCAGGACATTTTCGTCAAAATTGTGAAGGGGCCTGGACCTGTTCATTTTGTGGAAAAAAAACGTGAATTGTCATAAAATTGTGGGAAAAAAACATATTATTTGGCATTTATCGACATTATGAAACTGGAATATCTGCTTCAAGTCGGTACTTTAACCTGCTAAACATGTGCTTAAACCATTTAACTTGATTAAAACTATTTCTGTGTTCTTGAAATTGGCGTGAATCATGTTTTACTGGAAGGTAAACAATGTATTTCAAAGACAAAGTCCCAATATTTTGTGAAATTTCTTTTTGAAATTGTGAATTTTTTTTCCCGCCACTTTGCGAAAAAAGTGCAATTTTGAATTGTGAAGGGGCCTTATAAAATCCATGTTTAGTAACTTTGCAAGGACTGAGCCATGCTTTACCTTCGCCTTTCCCCGCACTGCCAGGTTAATGCGACCAGTTGATTTGTACATCATTCTGGACCTTCAAAGTCGAGGTTTGGTGTAGAGGATACAATTGGCTTTGTATGTATCTGAGTTTATTTATACTCGCCACCGGTTGCCCATATGGACAAGTCCTCCAGAAGAGTATTAATTTAGTCATTTTAGATTTTTGGAGGATAGTACAAGATACAGATACAGAAAGATGCCATAATTCCAGAAGCTTCTCCTGGTTCTTTAGCGTGCAAAGTGTTAAATCACTCATACACGGGACCTCGATTTAAAGTCTCATCCGAAAGACTGATTAGTAATTTTAGTTTGCCAGCCCGGGAATCGAACTCTCAATGTCGAGATTACAAGTCTCGCGCTCTAACCAATTGAGCTATGCGGGCTGGCTAAAATACAATTGGCTTGTGCATTAGGACGTTTTTATACGTCCTTTTATCAATATAACCATACCAGCCATTAACCACAGACACTTGGGGTTTGGAGCTCAAAACGCCTTTAAAATCCAAATAAAATGCATATTTGTCAATCCCAGCACATGTACTGATCATATATAATTATCAAAAAAACTTAATATAAGCCATTTTGAAAAAAAATCATATTTCAACATCTATAAGTACAAGTGTCTGTGCCATTAAGGACTATAAACAGTGCCATAGAATTTGCTTAATTCAACATGTAGACAAAAACTTATATTTGCCGACGCTAATTATATGTACAAACATAATGAATTATTAAAAAAATTAATTTCAATAAACAGGCAATCGTTTGCCACTAAGGTGACAGTAATGTGCATTGTATCGATTCGGACAACAAATTTGTTAGTTTTTAACTGGACATTCAAATAAGACATTGAGTAAAATATTTGAAAAAATTATTTATTTTTCATTTCTTACTTTTGAATGGTTTGTCTAAAATGAGCCAATTTCTTTCTATAACTAGAACAGTTGTATAACTTCTAACGTGAACAATACTGTAAAGGAATAAACGTTGCTGTCTGCTGTTCAATATTTGAAAACACGGCTTGTGGTAGGCAAGACATATTGTTTTATCTAGTGTTTTTCTTTTGTTTTTAATACAAAATGTTGGGAACTCCACTTTACACAGCAATACAAGAGAAGACTATGAAGACGCCGGACAAAACTCTTGATTTGATAAATGCGGATAATGAAATCATAAACTCAAAAGGTGAATCGAACGAAACATATCTTCACTTCATATCTGAAGAGTACTCTGGTGACGAAGACGCACCTGCTTTGATACCAGTCATATTTCAATTAAGCAACGCTGGAATGGACGTGAACGCGACGGATACGTCAGGAAATACCGCTCTCCATGTAGCTGCACAACGAGATAAAACCAGAAAATTGATACGTGCTCTCCTCATGGTTGGCGTTGACCCGCTAATTAAAAATTCAGAAAAGAAAACTCCATTAAAACTTGCGAAACCATTCCCGGAAAATTTAAAGATTTTGAATTTCATGTCACCAGGGTTATGGAACGCCGTGGAAAGAAATTCTGAAGAAAGGGTTAAGACGCTGACATCTAACTGGTGTAAAGTAAATGAGAAGAGAAATCAAATAACTATGTTAGCACTTGCTGAAAAGATTGGAAACGTCGAGATAAGGAAGATGCTCGCGAAAATAGAAAATACAAATGCTTTTGTTCATTATGCTCTCGCTGGTGACAGGAAGAAAATGAGACCTTTTTTCAAAATACGCAATGTTTCCGTAGACACGTTTTCTTCTTCTTACATTGATGAAGTTTCCGGGGATTATGTAAGTTTGCCGCTCGTCGGAGAAGTCGCACTTCTTGGATTAACTAACGTCGTCAGAAAGCTCTTGCGAAAGAAAGCTTCTCTTATTTTCTCTGTGTTGAAAACGCCGATGTACTTGTATGTAATGCAACATATCAAGCCGATTGAAGAATTCTATGAAATGCTTGAAATACTACTGGATAAAGTGGACTTTATACGAAATAAAAGTGACACAAATACAGTCCTCGATGTTGCATATGACAAGAACCTACCTATCAGCGTTCTTCGGACGATGACGACGAAAGGCCTTGACCTTTTTCTTGCAGACGATGACGGTCATTTTCTGCGGGACAGAATACTCCTGAAAAATGCAACAGAAACTTCGAAAACTATCGAGAAAGAAATTGCTTATGTTGATAAAATCGTCATTGACATGGCTAGCAACGGGTGTATTGGTTTGCTACAAGGGTAGGTATAAATGTGTGTTATGTGCAGTAAAACATTTTTATAAAGCCCAATCTAGAATTATGACCAAATGATCTTTCTGACATGCGTTCTCTTATAACAATGCTCATTTTAATTGATCAGAATTACGTTTGAAGGGAAATTTAAACTCCATACTTAAAATATTTCTGTAAACGGAAGTGATCTGTAGAACATAATTTATTATGCTAATAAAACAAGCGTGTATAATTCTTAAAATGATCATTACTGACCGGTTTTTTAAATGTGGGAAGTTTTTGAGCTTTCATAATTATTTATTATGCAAAAGATCAATTTTCTTGCAGATATCGACCAATGAAATAAGCTGTCCTTGGTAAAGGAGACTATTAATGTACTTGATATAAACCTAACATTAAAACATGATAATTTCCATTGTTTCTTTCTCCTCTATGTTTTAATACATAACTCATAGAAGACTTTAAAAGCAATATACAACTGTACATGTATATGTACAAGTGTGTAAAAGATATTCACGAAATAGACCGGGATGCTGCGACTGTAATTCGTCATTTACCTATAATCAGAGTCTTACATTACATAATATTTAAATACAATCAAGCTTGGTGATGAGATAATTTTCAAAAAATCTAGAAAAGTGTGATCCCTAGGAAGCATTAGTCACAACAAAATTACATGCAAATTGTAGACTCGGTTTGATACAGTCTATACACTTATTTCGATATAATTAATAGATAATTATGTTCTTGTCAAAAATACTTGTACTAATACTGCAGGCTAGTAGAAAGAAGTTACGAGTATATCGATGTGGCTGTAGACGAAGTGGGCTCGGTGAAAATCGGGCTAGCAAAATCCCTGGGGGATGCGAAAGCAGAAAAATTTCTAAAGGAGGCAAATGATGTACAGGTAAAGAGGAGATTATGATTTTTTTTATAAAAATCGTGAATATTGATGGCAGTTAACAATATATATGTTTCAAAATAATAAATATTTATCTAAGATAAAAATGGACTAAATCTATACATCAAGGATAGCTAAAGTCTAAAAAAGAAAGGTCGCTAGTCGTTTCTTTAATAAATTTGACTTCAAATGGTGATACTTTTCTGCAAAGCCGTCCGTTAGAATGTTGTATATATGTGTACAGTCACTTGGCATGGAGGTCTTTCAAAATGATGAGCAACCTAAATGAATTATTTAAGTTCTGCGGTGCCTGAAAGTCCCGATGTTCATATGACTGAAAGGACAAACTGTTGTTGACTTGTATGTACTAAAACTCAAAGATTGACTTCATTTTTACACATTGATCCGGCCAGTGGATTCTTTTATTTTTGTTTGTTTGTTTGTTTTGGGTTTTACGTCACATCGACACAGTGTAGGTCATATCGCGACGTTCCAGCTTAACTGGTGGAGGAAGCCCTCTGGTGCCCTTCCGTGCATTATTTAAGGCACGAACGAGCACCTGAGTAGAACCACCGACGTTCCGTAAGCCAGCTGGACAGCTTCATCACATGAAAGAATCCAAAGTCCCTGTCGGGATTCGAACCAACAGCGGTGAGGGGCAAGTGGTTTGAAGTCAACGACCCTTTTATTTTTGTATGCGTCCATAGATTAAGATAATGTTACTTGTTGCTTTTGCTGTTGTCGTTTTTGTGTGTGTTTTTTAGCCGTTGTCTTTCTTTGTTTATAGTTCGTGTATGCTTTGTTTGTTTGTTTCTCTCCGCGGATTTTCTTCTTTGATTGTTTGTTTGTTTGTTTGTGTGTTTTGAAAGGACATGGTCTGATTTTTATTTCAGAAATGTTTCAGGCAGATATGTCACGTGATTATGATAGGACATTTAGCACAGGTGCAGAGTTTATTGAAAGGGAACGTGATAAAAGTCACCGACAGAATGGGTCGTTCGTTAGTACATCGTTCTGTTCTGTTTGAACGTCGCCACGTGCTTCGTTATCTTCTAAAAGTCAAAGCGAGTCTGGCCAATAGTTTGGACAACGTATGTTGTAATCTTGCTTTCTTTTTTTTTTCCCCTTTTTCCACAAGTTGACTTAATCACGTTTCTACAATTCTGAAATAATCTTACAAAACAGAAATCTGCCAACACCATACTCGAGTTGTTTTATTTTTACTCGGAGGAATTTTTTTTTAATTTCTCATTAATTTCTCTCGTATGAGACCTTCGGAAAATGATGTTCCATGTCATGTCCTTTATAATATGCTTGTAAAAGAACCAACTGTTTCTTCTGGAAAGGTGATATTTGAAATTTCTGTGGCACTACCCTCCAAAATTAAAGCTACAGTCATTTTTCAAGAGTGTACATTACTTGTAGTTAAAGTAACCCCTAAATCTCCTGCAACAAAACGTGATTAACCAGTACCACCAGTATAGAACCGGACCAGCATGCATTTCCGCACAATTTGACCAGGCTCTTTACTGTTGGAAGCTCATATTTTGATATTGATATCCATTGAATTGTCCCATATTTTAAACAGGGCAAATCCATTATACAAAAAGAAAGTTAAGAGCTAATATTACTGCTATTTTATTTGAACCTGTTATGAATTCATTATCCAGCCTGTTAAAGATATACATGTATCTATATATTCTAGGCTGGAAGATCACCCTTATTTATGGCCTGTGCCCTTGAAGATGGAGAAGATATGGTATTGGCCCTGAAGGCCATGGGATGTAAAATGGACCTTCTAGATAAGGTAAATGTCTTACATGTACTAAAAATAGTCTATAGTAAGCTCGAATCAAAACAATTTCCCAAATTATATCATTCAAATTCGGGCCCACATCTTGATTTTTGGACCTAACCAGTACTGGTACAAAAATGAGAAATCATGACCGTGGTCTGATTATGACTCGAGTCCGCGATTTCTGGTTTTAGCAAATTTGTTTTTTTGTGTCAGGCCTTTATTGGAATATTTGATTTTTAATTGGAGCCGTGCTTATATCCTTGGTGATATTTAATTAGACGGCAGTGGTGTATATATTCTTGGTCTGAGGCTGTATTGAATTTTTCCGCATAACTCAAATATAAGAAATCTGATTGCTCAGAAAACAACAAAGAATATGTCGGTACCAATGAAAAGTCCTTTAAATTTGAGATAGAGTTCTATGTTTGATAACCTCGAGGCAAGGTTATTGACTGGTATGAAACCAACGGCAGAAAAAAATAGTGCGGAGACAGGGCACCGAAAAAAAATCCTCAAAGCCTTATTCTATAATTTAGACACAATTCAAAATTCAAGCCGATCAAGTCAGTTGCAACCATTTGGATGATTAATTAAAAAAACATTAGGTAAATAACACTACTCTTTTCTTTAAAATTTAAAAGAATGGTATTTCACCAAGCGACATTAAAGCAATGACTCCAAAGGAGAAGAGAAAGTTGGTGATGCAGGAGAGACAAACGGATTATGGCATGGATACATACTTATTCTTCAAGTATTTTGACATAAAAGAGGCAATAAGGGCTGCAGATCTGAGCAAAGTCGAAGAAATCAGGTTTGATTTGACGGATTGACCCTTTATGTTGTAATAACGTCAATTTTCAACTGTTATAATGGTGATTGACCGACCATTAATTGTGGGAAATGTCTGTCTAAAACATAAAAAAGACTGGCCAACTCTTTCTCTATTTATATATATTGAACGTTTCAGAATAAAAAAAAATACAGAAATTTCTTTTGGCCATTTGGGTTACAATGTATTTGTCATTCATGCGAATTAAATTATAAAATTAAAAGCGAATGTGGCAAAATGTAAACATTTTGACTTTCACCTGATTACTTACTATATACCATTGGTGGACATAATATCAATTGATGTTTATGCTTCCAAGAACATGATTATTTTTATTCGATTTCTGTATTTTATTAACGCTTGAAAAAGAAGTTGTCACAATGTCCAAAAGAAGGGGGTAAGAGGGTTATTAAATTTGAACTTTAAATGTCGTGTTCCACATCAAGCATAAATTTAACTTCAAACCGTTGTCGTATATTTCTTGACTGTAGGGCACACATCTACCGGGACATTATGACCAATGATATCTCGGCTAAAATGTACCAAACGAATCCACCACAGAGGGACATACTCCAGTTTGCAATAGACGCTAGACGAGATAAGATAGCCAAATATCTCCTTACAATGGGAATGGCCTGGGATGTTAAGGTGAAGATAGCACGTTTATATATCATCTTCACAGCACTCCTAAGATTTAGTTTTGCTTTGTGCTACAACTTAAATATGGGAACATTATTTACTAGCTATAACCCTAAGCATAGTATTCTTCTCGTATATATTTTCAAAATATTGCCCTACCTTCCGATCAGATTTTATTACTACAAATATTCTTATTGGTGCATATTTGAATGATAGGTAATAGAAAGAGCATCGAAACATGAGTATGAGGGGAGCGTAACCCCCGAGAATATATTAGACTGCCGAGTGTTTTGATGTTCTTTCTCTTTTGTATCATAAGCAAAAATTAAAACACGTTCCCTGTCGTTACAATATGGAACCCCAGAAAAAAGTAACCTAAGTATGACTTTATCCCTTGTTCCGTCCCCACAATAATATATCCATGAAAAAATGAGCCAAATAATGAGCATGCTCTTTTTTATTTTCAACAGAGAGTGAGGTAACTGGAGTGTTGGTAACCAATACCTGCACTCCAGTTAACGCACTGTGCATGTATGTGTACAAGATTTGACTCTGACATTAATGAAAGGTTTCCAAACTGTGATACATGTATAATATGTCTTTGAACTTTGCCCTGTAATTTCAGTATAAGCAAGGCGATGAGGAGATGACCCTGCTTGAAGCGGCGAGGAAGTATAACATGCAAGCTGTCATAGGGTACATCCAGTATCAGGTATGAATCCCACCACCCGCACCCTTCCCCGCCAAAAATAGAATACGAACAAAAAATAAAAAAATAAAAAAATAAAAGAAAAAGAAACATACACGGTCTGTTGCTCTTTTCTGTGCGTAGTTGATCGATGGTTTGATCAATATTTACCCAAACTACTATAGTTCTGGCTTCCATAACTTTATATGTCGCTTTTATTTTTACGTTGTGCGACAGGTCTAGCAGTTCTATAAAACCTGCTCGTTGAAGTCTGTTCCAAACTACGAAATACGTTCTTATCGAAATCACGTGAAATATTGCTTTCATTCACATCATACTTCTGACCGAGACACCGAAAATAGTAATAGCGGGCTAATCGAGTTGCAGATAATAGCTTATAAGATATCTTACTGCAAGACATTTCAAAATTATTCCATTACTTTAATTATGCCAGCGATTTTTTTAAACAATTCATCGTAATCTAGCCTAAGACAATTTGCAAAACATCACATATTATGAAGAAATAGCGTGTCGACTTCAGCATGACTGGTAATTGTCACAAAAACCTGTGCTATAACGACGATGTGTTTTTGCTGTGACCTGACGAGCCCGTTTATAGTTGTGGTTAAGCATAAATTTCAAACAAAGTTCCACACAAAAGGGTGTGTTTCTTTTGTCTCTTTTAGGGAATACATATATACATGTACATGTATATTTTAAAAAATCACCTACTGATACGAATATTGGAGCACCGTACAGCACTGAATTAAAACACCGCATTTTATTCCGTCAGACTGATAATTAACGTCATATATTTTTTCCATCATACTTGGCATGATATATAAAAAGTGAATTTTTCGATTAAAGACTGTTCATTTATTGTTTTATTTCAAGGAAGACTTTTGAAAGTCGAAACTAAGTCAAATATACTTAGTCTAGTTAAATGGTCTCAATAGATTAGTTTGTCGATTATTATTGTATTTATTTTTTTTTTCATATTTTAATCGAATTTCATCAAACGTATAAATCAAAGATGTGGTAAACGCCATGTTACCGTGTCAATGCACTATATATGATGAAGATCCTACATTTGGGATAACATAGTCAACTTTGCCTCTTTGGTGTTGTTTAACCCAGTTACATTCTTGTCCTTTAACTGGCATATGACCCTTGATGCATAGCCTCAAGTGTGCACATGACTGATTAATAATTCAAACAAGCCGACCGACACTGTTTTTTAAGCTTGTACATGTTATTAGAAAACTATCCGTTACATTTTATAATGGAAGAACTATCCTTTGCATTTTACTTACAATTTTATTTAATTGTGGCAATAACTGTCCTTTACATATTATTTTAGAATGACCAGTGCAATTCTCAGATTTCCGTAATGACCAATGATAATTCTTCTCATATTCAGCTCTTCCCTGTAAATTTTATAGGAAGTCAAACTGATTTTAGATGGCCTTCGGGCATTAATATAAATAAAATAAAATATTTGTTTTCAGTCTGAGAAAATAGAACAGCACAAGAAGCTTATAAAAAAGTTGAAGAGTAAAGGTGTTGTGAAAAATGTGAAGAATGTCAAGACGTCAAATGATAAACAAAACACGGAGGAGGACAGCACCAATGTTGATACTGAAGCACCAGCTGAAGACACGGAGGAAATAGAAGAGAGCAAGACATGTACTCTTCAATGACAGAAAATAAATGTACATCAGATTATCGTTACCCAAAAACATATGATATATTATTGCTTCTGTATAAAATAAGGCTTAAAGATTATTTTTGACGTGTTGCACTAATTACTGATTAATTAATAATGAAGCAGTGATGTGGGTTAGTTTTAATGTCTGTTTGCTTTATTATATCAGCACCAATTAATTGTTCTTAACATTTTTGACATGCCTATCAGCTTATAATCATTGTTAGACAAATTCGATATAAATAAGACAATTGAGGTTACTAGAATTGAAATCAATTCAATATAATTTATGTTTTTGTACTGTTCGGCGTTTTATGCAAACGGACACTTTAACTGTATTATTGTCACATAAAAGTTAAAAAAAACTACATGCATTGAGGGCATCAAGTGCCCCTCCTGGCAGAATATCTCAAGAACACGGACCAACATCTAATGTGCGCAAAAATATATATTCTGTAAGCTTATTTGATAGCTTTATTACACAAAAGAAAAATCAACATCCATTTGAACTTAAAGCAGTGACGGACCCCAGACTGCAATCCAAGGTCGTTAACGAGCCGTCCTTGTATGTCATTAACATTAGAGCTGTCATCGATATCGACAATATCGATGTATCGTTGATATTTTTTTGTCGATCAATAATCGATACACATTTTAAAAAATCGATACTTTTGACTTATATATTAAATGTCTAGAAATTATACAATTCACCCAAAATATATGCAGAAACAGTTATTTATATCTAATGTTATGCTTTTGTTATATAGTGGAATTATTTCATAGCAATGGTGACAAAAAATATTGTCTGGAAAAAATCAAGCAGTGGACAAGACACTGTACAGAACATGTTTTTGGCTGAAATCATTGAAACAGGTATGAAAGTGAATGACAGACAAGTGAGTATAGGATATTATCGATATATCGGTGTATCGTTGATTTTAGTCACTTGATATCGATATATCGTTGATATGCTTTTCACTGAATCAATGACAGCTCTAATTAACATAAATGTTGAAAACAATGCAAATACATCTCGTAGTCTAGTATATGAAGAACTGAAGTACTACACCGAATAGTTTTGCTCTAGAAATATGTTAAAAGAATAGTTGATGGCGCACATTAAAGACTTTATTTTGCCTGTGTATAAAAAAGATGACTTGTACTTTTAGATGAATTAAAATTGTATATTACGTACAAAGTAAATACTTCACAAATTTATTTCATTTCAAAGACAAATGAAATGAGTTTATATACATTTGAAAGTATTTTTATCATTATCATTACCGTATTACGCCATGGTACAGAATTATCCCGGCTGATTGATGTTATTGTTGGGTTTTCATTTCGTTACTTTCGAGAAAGTCGACTATTAAAATATTATTTTTTCAAAAAACAAATATCTAACTTAACAATCTTAAAATCAACCAAAACTGGATTTCTTATCAATAAAAAGGTGATAATTTTCAGCATTCTTAAACCAAATATATGACTTTTATGTGACTTTCTTTCTTTCTCTTGTTCCTTATCTCTTTTTCTCTTCTATTATTACTTCTCCTCCAATGTACATGTTTTAATAATTAAATCTCTCAACATATTAGTTTAATTAACCAATCACTAAACTAAGCAATATATCCCTTTAAAAATGAATTCATACTCGTGCTTATACCTCTAATCTAACAGCAATGTATCTTAAATTTAGTTCATGAATACTTGACATAAACATAGTATGTATAGTAAGAAATCAAGAACAAGTCGATATGATATGTATAGTTTAGTTTAGATATTTATATTTTGTTACCATTTATTTGAAATTTGTTAAATACTGATTACGGAGAGAGTTTTCAAAAAAGCTTTACAAGCTTCCTACTCAATCCGTAAATTTTATTTTATGTAATTTATTATGTAAATGTGTGGATTATTAATAAAATATTGTTTAAACTAAATATATGACAAGTATCGGAAAAGAGGGGGGGGGAGAGGCTTAATTAGAGTCTTCCTTTCAAAAATCAAAAGAAATTTAATATAATTCGTATAAACAGCCAAAGAATATTTAGATCTAGTTTCCCGTTCAAAATAACCATTGTCATTTGCTATTCTTTATTACCGCTATTTTGAAATAAAAACCCTCAGACACTAAGTCACAAAATATTCTGTAATATTTTTCCACATTCTAGCAGTAAAGGAACAAGAGGGCCATGATGGCCCTGAGGTCGCTCACCTGTATATAGCCCCCCCCCCCCCGGGCAAATTTTTACCCAAGGGCTTTTATTTGAACAGACTTGGTAGACACCCATAAGAAGATGTTTCATGCTAAACATCTAAGTTCTAGCTCATTGGGGTTTTTAAAAGAAGATTTTTTAAGTTTTTACTATACACATATAGTTAAAAACAATGACACCCCTGGGGCAGGGCCAGTTTTGACCCCTGGGCTTTTATTTGAACAAAGTTTGTAGATATTTACTTAAAAATGTTTCATGTATAATATCTAAACTCAAGCTATTTGGGTTTTTTTCAAAGAAGATTTTTAAGTTTTTGCTATACACATATAAGGAAAATCAATGACCCCCGGGGCGGGCCAGTTTTGAACCCAGGGCTTTTATTTGAACATACTTGGTAGACACCCATTAGAACATGTTTCATGCTAAATATCTTAGCTCTAGCTCTTTGAGTTCTTTAAAAGAAGATTTTTTAAGTTTTTACTATATGCATATAGGGAAAATCAATGACCCCCTGGGGCGGGGCCAATTTTGACCCCAGGGCTTTTATTTGAACAAACTTGGTAGACACTCATTAGAAGATGTTTCATGCTAAATATCTTAGCTCTAGCTCTTTGGGTTCTTTAAAAGAAGATTTTTTTAAGTTTTTACTATATGCATATAGGGAAAATCTATGACCCCCTGGGACAGGGCCAATTTTGACCCCAGGGCTTTTAATTGAACAAACTTGGTAGACATTCACTAGAAGATGTTTCATGTCAAATATCTAAGCTCTAGCTCTTACAGTTCTTTAATAGAAGATTTTTTAAGTTTTTACTATATGCATATAGGGAAAATCAATGACCCCCCGGGGCGGGGCCAATTTTGACCCCAGGGCTTTTATTTGAACAAACTTGGTAGACACTCACTAGAAGATGTTTCATGCCAAATATCTTAGCTCTAGCTCTTTGGGTTCTTTAAAAGAAGATTTTTTAAGTTTTTACTATATGCATATAGGGAAAATCAATGACCCCCTGGGCCCGGGCCAATTTTGACCCTAGGGCTTTTATTTGAACAAACTTGGTAGACACTCATTAGAAGATGTTTCATGCCAAATATCTAAGCTCTAGCTCTTACGGTTCTTTAAAAGAAGATATTTAAAGATTTTTCTTTCGGTTGCCATGGCAACCAGAGTTCTGCATGAAATGGAATTCTTTGAACAATCTTGATAGAGCTTCATACAAAGAGTATTCCTGCCAAGTTTCATTAACATTGGCCTTGCGGTATCATAGAAGATGTCCTTAGAATATTTAAAATGTGGACGGACGACAGACGACGGACGCCATTTGGTTGGCCATCCTAAAAGCTCACCTGCACTTTGTGCAAGGTGAGCTAAAACAGGTATTTTGCATTTTAATTATTGTCAAGAAAAATACATAAAATGTAGAAATCTGATGCAAATGTAGTCGTTGTTTCTATCTATCTTATTATCCGGATCTACGCCATATCGTTCTATTTTACTTGTATATTAAATACTCCATTAAATATTTCAACATGAGCAAAGAATGAGCATTTTTACAGCATGATCTATTCATAAGCAGTGAGAAGAAATCATGATGTAAATATAAATAATACAGCGAGTGGGAAAACCGCACACTTATCCATGAAATAAAAAAAAACTTAGAATACAGAATGACATAACCATTTTAAATTTTATTAAGTTGCGGGCATATATAGGTCTACTCTACAATTCACAATGTTTGAATGCATAATGTAATTTTGACAGCAATTATCTTGCATAAATAATTACTTGTAGTGAACGGAAAAAATTGTTTAAAGCCACAATCTCGATAAAAAAATACATTATAATTATATACTCGTATTTACTAAAACAAAATGTTTTGAATTCATTTCTTTGTATTGCACTTACGTCCTACATATAGATAGAAATCAAACACCCGTATATAAACTTATACAACCTGAACGGATCGAGTTTATGACTTTATCACGTGGTATGACGGATCGTATTTATAAAGCGTCAATAGATACATTGCTTCATTTTAGATAAACAGACACAAAGGGGAAGATGAAGCTCACGATAAAACTGTCGTTCCTGTTTCTCTTTGTAACTATAATTTCATTTTCAGAATGTCGTAGTTTAAAAGATTCAAGAAGAAAGTTTGATCTTACCAGGATTTTAAAATGCTTGTTGATGAACGAGGATTGTGAAAAGGAAACATACTCTCGACAAAATGATCCTTTGACAGAGGTGATCTCATCTATAATAATGCTAAACGGTGTTGTATACACTGTGGATGGTACAGACTGGCATTTGAATCCAAAAGAAGCAATTGTTGTCTATAATGAAAAGATAAAGTATGTCGGCTCAAACGATGAAGCAAGGAAATACATTATACCTTGGAATAGTCAAGTTTACGATTTGGGTGGTGGTGTGGTCTTCCCAGGCTTCCATGATGTTCACATGCATCCTTTAGAGGCCATGTCACCAGTAGCAGGAGCATGTATACTGCCAAACCTTACACCACCAGATGATCAAAAGGTTACAAACGCGTTAAACGAATGCAAAGATAAGACGGTTATTGGAACAGATTGGGTTCTTGGTGCTGGACATTCCGTCACATCGTTATTAGAATATGTCAAAAAAGGTGAATCTCCAAAGCTTTTATTGGACAAGTTTATAAAAGACCGACCAGCCGCAATGCTTGAGGAAACGTCGCACTCTGCATGGGTCAATTCAAAGGCTTTAGAAATGGCAAAAATTACAAGCGAAACACCCGAGAAGCCTGGTGGAGTAATTATGAGGGAGCCAGACAGCAATAAACCCAATGGTATTCTGTTTGAAAATGCGGCAATCGAAATATTTGCGCTTGCTATGGATCCATGTAAGGGGAACAATAATCAACTCATTTGCCAATTGAATAATGAAGGATTGTTTAATTCAATGGAAGAACTAAAGTCCTATGGTATTACTTCATTTTGCGACGCAAGGGTTTATTGGAAGTTGGGACATGATTATTCGTATGAGGATGCGTGCAAAAATGAATATCTTACTACTAGGACTGTACTAGGTCTTTGGGCGTATCCTAATGCAAATGACGCAGATCAAATCAGTAACTTAAAAAGTCTTTACTGGAATCCGTCGCCAAACAACGAATGTTCACTAAGGAAAACCCAAATTAAAGTTTATATGGATGGCATTGTGGAGAGTACAACCGCAGCTATGGAGAAAAACTATCTTGTCAATCTGTCTTTGCCCATTATAAGCAAAGAGAACATTGGAATGAACTATTTTGATAAAAATCGTTTGACAACATACCTTAAAGAACTTCAAGAATTAGGTAACGAGAACGAAGGGTTCGATTTTCACATTCATGCGATAGGTGATCGTGGCATTAAAGATGCACTTGACGCTATTGAGGAAGCTAAACAGTATCTTAAAGTGAGAAAGCCGAGGCATAGATTAACACATTTAGAAATTGTAGATCCAACCGATATATCAAGATTTGTGAAACTAGATGTAATTGCTGATTTTCAAGTTGCTGGAGACTTCACACTTCCCTCAGAACATCAGCATCTTGCTCAGTATGTAGGGGAAACAAAAGATAAGTTTTCTATCCCTGTTAAAGATGTTCTTAAAACTGGTGCTAAAACAACATTTAGCAGCGACTGGGATGTTAGCACCCTGAATCCATTCGTCGGAGTGCAACACGCTGCAAGAAGAGGCGATCAATCTGTGACCATAAAGGAAGCTATTGAAATGTATACTGTAAATCCAGCTTTTGCCATGAGACAGGAAGATAGGGTTGGGTTTTTGTCAGAGGGAATGGAAGCCGACCTTATTGTCATCGATCAGGACATATTCAATATCCACAAGGAAAAAATCAAATATACTCAAGTCTTACAAACTATTTTCATGGGCGAAAGTATTTATTCTTCCAAAGGAAATCACAATTTTATTGAAACCCTTACATCGGATTTGGATGTCTTGAAAAATAAATCTTTGCTTGAATGGTGCTGGAATTTGGCTGATTGGTCTGATATTTGTTACAGTCTTTGTGAGAGTGTAAACATTGACGGGTTGAACGATGAGGATATGAAACGTGTAATGACTTATTTTTGTTATCCTTAAAGGCTAAGTAGCATATAAAACAAACAAATACAAATTGCATTGATCTGTACCAGCCTGTCATCGAAAATACGACTTTTCATATACATGTATCAGTAGAACGTTATACATGTATACGTATGTGGTTGGTTTTACACCGATATCAACATATTTATGGACATGTCTTTAACATTAACTCTTACCAGCTTCCTTGGATTACTAAACAGTAATGTAATGAAGGACGATTTCTGAGTCAGCGGCAATAGACAACCATAGACTGTATGTTCGAGATCAATTGTCACAAAAATGCTGGTTTGCTGCAAGGGTGATACCAAATGAACCCTAGATTACAGATTTAATGCTTTCATACCCTATTGAGCGGGCAGACGTACATATTTGTTTGTTTATTTTTCGTTTTATTTTCTATATTTAGCATTAGTTCTTATAATACAAGTTTATAAATTTCTTGTTATGTAAATTATAGTTAAATTTATAAAAAAAAATAAATGTTATATCTAATAACTTTCTCACTATTGATAACACTAAAATACATTATTGTAGTTCATTCTCTCTCCTTACTATATACAGAAAATAAAATATATATTAACCAAAGTTGTTGTTACTTTAAACTATGTTTCTGAATTATTTTTCTTTGCGAATGACGCTCTAATTTACAAGAAGGGCCTAAATTTTCTTTCCAAAGTTTTATGCCATTATATATAGGTCTGAATCAATAACTTGTGTGCAAAATTTTCAGATCATTCGCTCACTCCGTTTTGTCCAAAATAATCATTTTCTTTTGTAAAATGATCGACAAGAGTTTAAACGTTTTTAGTCAAATCGAGTTAAAATCTCAATAAATTGCGAATTTCAATTTCTGAGTGTATTTCAGAAAAAAAAAGAAATACTATGTCGTTCGCAAATGGTTACTAAGTCTTGCGCATGGGAAAATTATGTGGCGTGCACGAGTTACTAAGTCTAGCGCACGATAAAATAAAGCCGTGCGCACGATTTACTTCGTGATGCGAACGAGATAACTAAGTCATGCGCACAACATAATTAACCAATAAGGTTACACTATATATACATATTTATGAATTTTCATTGTTAACTAGAAATGTGCCATAGGGCAATGATGTCCCTACTTCACCTGCCTGTCACAGTGGCATACATACACATTATGCTTAATAAGTTTCACTGTGACATTGACCTTTGACCATATAATCTGAAAGTCAGGATTGGAAATCTACTTGTTATGAGCAATATTCCTACCAAGTAACATAAACAATGACTTATTATTCTCGAGTTATGACTCGGTAACTATTTTACATGTGTCACTGTGGTTTTGACCTTTGACCTAATGCCTCCGAAATCAATATGGTTTCCTACTGGCTATTATGTCAAGGATTGGACAATGGTATTACATTAAGCATCTTTGTGACCCTGATTTTTGTCACACTTATCTCAGAATCATTAAGTGTCGGCTACTGATTAGGTTCAATGCCTATACCAGGTGATATAAACCATGACTTATTCTTTCTCAAGTTTTTTATTAAACAAGGATTTTACATGAAGTGTCATGGTTATCTTGAACTTTGGCCTTATGACCTCAAGCTTTTATAAAGGTCATCTACTGGCCGTAGGCAATGTGCCTTACAAATAAAATAAATAAACCAGAGATTATTCCTTCTCAAGTTATTGTACAGAAAAGGTTTAACAGGCCACTAATACGTACGTCCGAATCAAAATAATCACAGGATAATCTTGTGCGCACGGCATTATATCTCGTACGCACCTCTTAATTGTTTCGTGCGCACCACCTAATAACTCGTACGGACGACAAAGTATCTCGTGTCTACCATTTAATTATCTCGTGCGCACGACTTAGTAACTCGTTCGCACCATTTAGTAACTCGTGCGCACCACTTAATTATTTCGTGTGCACGACTTAGTTATCTTGTCAGCATGGCATAATATCTCGTGCGCATCACTTGATTATCTTGTGCGCACGACTTAGTAACTCGTACGCACGACAAAGTATTATGCCTACTACTTAATTATCTCGTGCGCATCTTAGAAACTCGTGCGCACAGCATATATTCTCGTGCACACCATTTCATTTTCTCGTGCGCACGACTAAGTAACTGGTGCCCACGACTCACGAGATATAATAAATAAAAACATACACATGTCACCTCTGTGTCACTGTTGTTAAGTGACCCATATATGTATGTAAGATTTCAGATTTTATATTTTAGGCTTTTAGACTTTAGTATCAGACAAAGACTCTTCCACCGTTTCGCCCTATAAAAAAAGAATATATTCTAAAATCATGCTTATACACACATTAAAATAAAGAATGAAATAATCAGCCCAATGTACAGTAAGGCTCTCGAGATTGTGAAACCCTTTACAATTTTCAGTACTCTTTTAAAGAAATTAAATCATCAAGACGTTTCCGCTAAATTTTGGATATTATAGTGGCCTGTAGTATCCATTACAAACCCGCAAGAAATTTTAAACATCAGTTTAAACAAGAGCCATGTCAACATGGCCATCCCCCGCCGAATGTGTTTGCTCATTGGAAGAATGTATATGTAGTAGAGCAGAATAATTCCATTTTAAGAGGTCTTTTGGTAATGAAAACTGATGGCTATAGTGATTACAGATTTGAAACCTATGTGAATACTGATGGCTGAAAATAACAAAGGGCAATAACTGAAAAATAATGCAGGGTAGGTTATCATTCTTGTGTGCTGCATCCCTCCTCAGTAAAATCTATCCACCTATGAAGTTTCAAGTTGATACCTCAAATACTTTTTGAGAAAAAAAAATTGAATTGAAAAATTAAGTATGAAAAATAACAAAGGGCAATAACTCAAAAATTATAAAAGGAAGAGTTATCATTCTTGTGCACTGCACACCTCCTGAGTGAGATCTATGCACCTTTGAAGTTTAATAATGATATCTCAAAGGCCTTTTGAGTTATGCTCTGGACAAAAATTAATTTTGAAAAATAAAAAAGGGCAATAACTAAACAATTATGCAGGATAGAGTTATCGTTCTTGTGCACTGCACTCTTCCTCAATGAGATCCATCCACCTATGAAGTTTCAAGTTGATACCTCAAATATTTTTTGAGATAAGCTCCGGACAAAATAGTATGAAAAAGAACAAAGGGCAATAACTCAAAAATTGTACAAGGAAGAGTTATCATTCTTGTGCACAGCATTCCTCTTCAATAAAATCTATCCACCTATGACATTTCATGTTGACATCTCAAACACTTTTGAGTTATGCTCCACTCGGGTGAAAAATTAGGTATGAAAAATAACAAAGGGCAATAACTCAAAAATTATGAAAGGTAGAGTTATCATTCTTGTGCACTGCACACCTCCTGAGTGAGATATATGCACCTATGAAGTTTCATGTTGATATCTCATAGGCTTTTGGAGTTATGCTCTGGACAAAAATCAATTTTGAAAAATAACAAAGGGCAATAACTCAAAAATTATGCAGGGTAGAGTTATCATTCTTGTGCACTGCACTCCTCCTCAATGAGGTCTATCCACCTATGAAGTTTCAAGTTGATAACTCAAATACTTTTAGAGATATGCTCCGGACAAAAATGTCGGACGGAAGGACGGAAGTTCTAACAGGAGAGTAATAATGTGGCTACTCTATTGTTCTCTCTATTGTTCTTTTTAGCCACACAAAAGAAAATAGCCACATAAAAGCATTACGGAATGAATGACATCAAAGAGAAAGAACAGTTACCTATTGTCCCACTAGCCACATAATTACTGTCCTGTGAGTGCGGGCGGACGGACGGAAGGACGAAGGTCGGACGGACGGACGGAGACTATTTCTATATCCCCCGCCGCCTTTTCGGCGGGGGATCAAAATGTCGCGGGCAACTATTATATCCGCGAGTTGTCGAGTATCGGGGTGAGCAGAAAAACGGACCATGACGCGCGACAAAGCGATACGGCGCTTGACAATGCGATACGACACACGATAACACGAAGCGATATTTTATAAAATGTCGCGATCTTTTTCTGACTTTTACACTGCGACACCCGACAATGCGAAGCAACACACGACAATACGAAGCGACACTCGACAATGCGAAGCGACACTCGACAATGCGAAGCGACACTCGACAATGCGTGGCGACATTTTGACTAATATCGTATCGTTTTGTCTTGCTTCTATTTGTGACAGGTCAAAATTTAATACCACACCGACAATACTTCTGACTCAGTTTGATTGAGCATGTTCAATCGAAAGCAACCGTACATATCCCCTATTCACCGGCTTAAACAGAATTCAACATGTAGACAAAAACAATGGCGAAATTTTGAATTTAGAACTTTCCGCAGATGTATTCATACTGCAATTAAGTCGACATTCCTGGTATAAATTATAAGATATAAAAGTAAAAATACGCATTACATGCTTCTAAAAAATCGTAAATTGATGATAAACAGTTGACGATTTTTTTCCCAATATTGTACAAATTCATTTAATTTTCTGATACGTATTTTCAATGATTTCATATTTACCCATTGTATACAGAAGAAATACATAGTAGTCAGATAGGTGAAATTCTTTCAGTTCTCTTTGTCTCTGAGATGATTAATGTAATCAACAAGGTGTTCCGAATATATAAAGACAAAGTTTAACTGATTAGGAACACACCGTTGATTACCCCATAATCATCCTATTGAAATGCATCAATTCAAGTTGGTTTGTTCGTCACGCCAACAGTGTTAATTTCACGTGGTCTGACTGGTGGAGGAGAACCTCAAAGGACCCTTCGTGGGTTGTTTCAGAAACTGGCAAGCACCTGAGTAGAACACTCGACCTAGCTAACGGGATAGCTTCATCAGATGAAAGAATCTAAAGTCCTTGGAGGGTTTCGAATCCACAGCATTAAGAGGCAAGTATATAATATGAAGTCGCCTACCCACGGAGGCCCCTTTAAGTATAAAAAGGGAATGACTTGCTTCGAAGTGAAAAAAT